TATATATTCATATATAAAATAAAGCACGTAGGGGACACAGTTATGGATACTTCCTAGACATAACCAAATACCTCACCGGATTGGGTTACTGGGTTTGAGGGCTTAGGACCATAGTCTCGGTGGGCAACTTGGTCAATTGGCATAAGATAGCTCATAAAGATAATGCTCTACATCCTAGTTTGGTGAGTAGTGTCTAGGGTCTTAAAAGCTTCCGAATGACTATCAAGATACAACTGTTGGTCTCTACTTGTCTGGAGCAACAGAAAAATAAGGAAACCAAGGACTCATAGAAGAAACTAGTCTACAGAACTAATAGTCTACACGAACCACAGCCTCACCTACCTTGAGACCAGAAGAACTAGATGGTGCTGGGCCCCACTACCGACCATTTCAACCAGCGACATAATAGATAGCCCCAGACAGAATTGGGAAAAAATGTAGAACAAAACTCAAATTCCTAAAAAAAGGGCCAGACTTACTTGACCAGGAGAGACTAGAGGAAACCCTGAGAATATCATCCTTTAAATTTGGAACTCAAACCACTCCTAGAGGTCACCTATCAGCCAAAAGACAGAGTGGCTCATAAAATAAATAGTATCACCCGTGAGTACTGTGCTCCTCTAAACAATTACCTAAATGAGACCTAACGGTCAACATTTACCCTATATCAAAGATGAGAAGGTAAGGGAGGATAAGGAAGCTAGATTAACGTAAACAGAACAACCAGAATGGAAATAATGAGAATGCTTACACATTGTGAAAAGTATAACCAGTGTCACTGAATAATATGTATAGAAATTCTTAATGAAAACCTAATTTTCTATGCAAATTTTCTCCAAAATCACAATAAAATATTTTTTAAAAATTTACTCCATTCAAACCAGCAAATCAAAGTCAACTCGTGATGACAAAAAAAAAAAAAAAAAAGGAGCAAGGATCACCTTACATAATATGATACATGAAACATACTTGCCATACCACTGAAATAATTTTGAGAAGTCCACTTGTCTCCATGTGACCTAAGCGAGTGATTTAACTTGCATTTACAGAAAGAAAATTTAAAAAAATGAATTCCCAGAGGCTAATGGCACTTTTAATTTTTTCATTACTCAATCTAAATACATATAAAACTAGATAACATTGAGTTGATTCAGACTTCGTGTGCCAGAGTAGCACTGTGCTCCATAGAGTTTTCAACGGCTGATTTTTCAGAAGTAGATATCCAGGCCTTTCTTCCAAGTTGACTCTGGGTGGACTCAAAGCTCCAACCTTTCGATTGGTTAGCTGTGCACTAGGCAGGGACTCTAACGTGTGTACAGGAACATTATTCGATGTTAATATCCTTTTTCAACAAAATCTTCATCTTATTTTTATGAAAGTACAATGAGAAGGAGCTTAACTAATGCCAAACTTAAAAGTAACTGTCTTTATCCTTCACCCAAAGATAGTAACTATCTTCCATTTGGGAAACCTTTAAAATTCTGATTGATGAAACACAGAGTATTAATTTCTCACTCCTAATCAACATAAATGCTTTTAGTTCCTTATTTATGTGGAAAAAACCTGCATTAAAAAAAATTGAAATCCTTCTTATTGGTACTAGGCTTAAGCTTGACAATCTTCTACATTTGCTACAAAGCTTATTTTATTCTATGAAAATGTTTATTAGCTATATTTCATTTTTATTTAAACATTCAACAGTTTGAATGCAAACCTATTCAGCAATACTATCACTCCCACCCCCCTTTTATTTCAGTGACTTAGATGGAAGACATAAAACTAATTTTCATAATTTTTAATGTAGTATCCATATAAAATATTAGAAAGCTTATTTCTGAAGCTGGGAGCTATGTTAGAGATATCACTAGATATATATTTTTAACCACTAATTCCAGAAAAATCAAATTACTTGTACAAAGTCACACAACTTGTTTGTGAATGAGAATTAAGTGCTTCTATTCTTTTAAATTTATTTTCATACTTAGCACATATTTCACAGTTTGTTATGATCCACACAGTCAAATGCCTTTGCATAATCAATAAAACACAGGTAAATATTTTTCTGGTATTCTCTGCTTTCAGCCATGACCCATCTGACATCAACAATGATATCCCTTGTTCTACATCCTCTCCTGAATCCGGCTTGAATTTCTGGCAGTTCCCTGTCGATGTATTGCTGCAACTGCTTTTGAACAATCGCCAGCAAAGTTTTACTTGTATGTGATAATAATGATATTGTTTCATAATTTCTGCTGTTTTGGATTGCCCTTCTTTGGAATGGGTACAAGTATGGATCTCTTTTAGTTGGTTGTCCAGGTGGCTGTCTTCCAAATTTTTTGGCATAGTCGTTTTTAAAAACATCTCAGTTGGTATTCTGTTAATTCCTGGAGTCTTGTTTTTCACCAGTGTCTTCAGTGCAGCTTGGCCCTCTTCCTTCAGTAACATTAGTTCTTTATCACATGCTACCTCCTGAAATGGTTGAAGGTTGACCAATTCTTTTTGGTACAGTGACTGTTTATTCTTTCCATCTTAGAACAAGAAGCAATCATTCAAACAGAACGAGGGAATACTTCATGGTTTCAAGTAAAAAAAGGTTTGCGTCAGGGTTGAATCTTTTCACCATATTCATTCAATCTGTATGCTGAGCAAACAATCTGAGAAGCTGGACTATATGAAGAAGAACAGAACATCAGGCCTGGAGGAAGACTCACTAACAACTTGTGATATACAGATGACACAACCTTCCTTGCTGAAAGTGAAGAGGACTTGAAGCACTTACTGATGAAGATCAAAGACTACAGCCTTCAGTATGTATTATACGTCAACATAAAGATAACAAAAATCCTCACAACTGGACCAATAAGCAACATCATGGTAAATGGAGAAAAGATTGAAGTTGTCAAGTATTTCATTTTACTTGGATCCACAATCAATGTCCATGGAAGCAGCAGTCAGGAAATCACAGGAAGTTTTGCATTGGGCAAATCTGCTGCCAAAGACCTCTTTAAACTGTTAAAAAGCAAAGATGTCACTTTAAGGACTAAGGTGGGCCTGATCCAAGCCATGGTGTTTTCAATCACCTCACATGCATGTGAAAGATGGACAATGAATATGAAAAACCAAAGAAAAATTGACGCCTTTGAGTTACGGCGTTGGCGAAGAATATTCAGTATACCATGGACTGCCAAAAAAATGAACAAATCTGTCTTGGAAGAATTACAGCCAGAATTCTTATAAGCAAGGAAAGCGAGACTTCCTCTCACATACTTTGGACATGTTATCAGGAGGGACCAGTCCCTGGAGAAGGACATCATGCTAGGTAAAGTGGAGGGTCAGTGAAAAAGAGGAAGACCCTCAAGGAGATGGATTAACACAGTGGCTGCAAACAATGGGCTCAAGCATAACAACGATCTTGAGGATGGCACAGGACCAGGCAGTGTTTCATTCTGTTGTACATAGGGTCGCTATGAGTTGGAACCAACTGGACAGCACCTAACAACAACAACAAAGCACATATCTAGTGTTTTGGAGAATAAGCACATTTCGAACCTTGGAATCCACAATTTAAGTAAAACCCTGATGTAATACGAACTTTGGAGTCCAAAATTTTCAGTCCACTAAAATGCAGTTATGTTATTGCTGACTGAGGGATTGGCTGCAGGATCCAAATCCTACTCAGAGTAGGATGCAGTTCAATGACACAATGACACTTATTCTCTCTGGCCTAAATAGGGAGGGACCAATTCTAGGTCCTGTGGTTTGGGTGGAACTTCCGGAATAGCAGAATATCCAGGTTACTGGTGATCATTTAGTAGGCTTGGTCTGGGGAGTTTGAGCTGGGAATATGTAGGAACCCACCATCCACCTCCCTGCTTCCCACGACCAGTTTACCTGCCATTTTCCTGCCTCTCCGTATTCTCCTGCAGAGGACAACAACTTTATTCTGCCTGCCTCCCCTGCCACATACACACCTTTGAGAAGTGGGTAAACTCATTGTTGAAAAGTGGATTCCGACTATAGAGACCCTATAGGACAGAGTAGAACTGCCCCATGGGATTTCCAAGGCTGTAAATCCTTAAAGAAGCAAACTGCCTCAACTTTCTCCACAGAGGGGCTGGTGGGTTCGAACTTCAGCCTTCTGGTTAGCAGCCAATTGCTTAACCACTGTTTCACCAGGGCTCCTTTGAGAAGTTGGTAGGCAATGGTTTCTGGGCAGATGCCAGGAGTCAATGACATTCTGTCCAAATTCTCTATATTGCAGGGTTTTTTAAGTTGCTATTGTTGTCTTTTCACTATCAGTATCAGCTGTGATCATTAAGTCGATAAACTGGAGTCAGGAATGTGCCTGCACAACTACCTGTAACCCGTACCAATTAAAGGGCTTCTTGCTTTCTGAATCAACTAGCCTAGCGGGTTGTTTAGGGACCCAAATGCCCAATTTAACACCAAATATACTGCTTTGACGTTGGCATTTGCCCTAGAAGGAAGCTGTCTTCCGTCCTCTAACACAAATTGGCAAAAAAAGTGAAACAGGACGTCAGTCCTGAATTGCACTCCACCCCAAAAGTCTCAGCTGGCCTCCGAGCCCAGAGACGGTCCTCTTAGGAGAATGAGTTTTGGAGGTGGGTGTAGTGGGAGCCGGAAGGCGAGGCAGAGATTAAATTCAAGACTCCCCGGGTGCTCGTGTGTGTGTGTGTCTGTGTGTGTGTGTGTGTGTGTGTGTGTGTGTGTCTGTGTGTGTGTGTGTGTTTCTGCGCTAGGTGACTTGAGAGGACCAGATTCAGTCAGGACCGAGGCAGCGCTTGGTGGGAAGGACCCCGCGATTCACCTCCTCAGCTGTTTCAACGCTGCTGTCCGGAAACCATGGATCCTGTCACCCGCGCCGTTCACCGCCAGGGGCCCAATGCCCCAAGACGCGGGGGTCGGGTAAGGACTGAGAGACTTGAAGAGAATGGCCAAGTTGCGGCCTCAGAGGCGCGGGGCGGCGCTGCATCCCTTACCTCCAGGTAGTACAAGTCCACGGTGGTGATCTGCGAGTCGAGGAAATCTTCATAGGTGGTGAACTGAGTGACTATATTGTCCACGGCCGTCAGCCCTTCTTCCTGATCCATTGCAGTTGCTTTGGGCGCTGCGACCCTAGCAACAGAGGCGCGAGGGCCGGATCAGGAGGCTCCACCCACTTCGTTCCTTCCAATCCGTTGCGGGCCGGTGTGGAGATTTGGACGTTAACCCTGCCCCATGTTTTTATACAGTTTCAGGCTTCCGCAAAACTCCTGGTAACACCGTCTGAAATTACTCACACCAAGTTCTCATCTGCTACCAGTCAACTGACTCGGACCTTGGTGAAATGTGGAGCAAGCGGAGAGATGCAAATTGCAATCCAAAATTAAACGTTATGAGACTACCAGAATTATTAGACAAAATAATATGAATCAGCGCTCCCAATCTCTTTCTAAAACAATGTTATGCAGGACAAAAAAAAAAAAAAAGGCTAGGTCTTTTCTCAGGTAGTTGAAGGTCCATTTATGCAAGGACTGTATATCAAAACAGAAGTCTCTGCAAATGATCTTGTGATCCAAGCTAATAGCAAAACACAATAATGATTTTGTTAAATCATTGTTTTAAAATTATAACTTGAAGACAAATTTTGCTAATGTTTGGTTATGAAGAATTTCCAGATGTATGAATTCCTAAAAGAAAGAAAGAAATAATAAAACTATTTTTGAAGACGTCTTTTGCCCCAAGTGCTTGCTTTTTAATTTTTTTTTTATTTCAATGATCACACAATGAAAGCTGTTGCCTGTTGAAGCTGCCTTTTTTAATAGGACGAAGTATCTATGGAAACTTAAAAAGCAGAGGTTTTTACTAAAGATTTTTACCCTTATTTTCCTTTAGAACAAAGTTTTGCATTTTTAAAACTCGGATTTAAAGTAATCCAACATGACAACTGGCAAAACTTTTCAGAATCTATTTTGAATTTTAATATTTTCCAAATCATCTTTGGGAATTAACATGTAATACAACATGGAGTCTGTGGTGGTTGCCCTGTAAGTTCTTGCTGAATTGATTTAGAAGATTTTCACAGATGAGCTATTTTTTTTTTAATGAAAACATCTGGTAAGATAATTCACTTTCAGTTAGCTTTCTCAATTTAAAAAGTCAACCTTAAACATTAGGATGTCATGAATGTGCAGGTTTTAAGTGACACAATAATCTCTAAGATATCACTTTTTTTTATTTAATAAATATATTCTGAAATGTTTTCAAGGCCATTTTAAGCATTGGTTTTAAATGCAATTTAACCATTGGATTTTCGAGAACAGAAGAAGGGAGAGAGAAACCCCTGACACTCAGCAATAATAGCAACAACAAATAATAATAACTGCAACAACAGTTATTGAATGTTCCCTGCGTGCTGGGCACTGTCCTAGGTGCTATTCATGGATTCCTTCATTAACCAGTATCTGTATTAAAATTAACAACCATCAACAAATGATAACATCAAATATTTTTAAAACACATGGAAATTCAAATAGCCCAAGAATTGAGTTGAAACCCATGTGACTTAAGACATTCCAGCTGATGTGCATGGGTCTAAGTATTCTCTATTATATAGAGAGTTCTATAATTCTCTCCTGAAAGAGGCATTATTCTGTGTGAATTGAGCACGGGAAGGGCTTAAAAAATTCAGCCACGAACTATATACAGAGAATATAAGTATTCGCTTTAGTACAATAAAAATACCAGTATTTATTCATCACAGCAAACTCACTAGGAAAGTAGCATTATTATTATGCCTGTTATAAAGACAGAATGGATTTAAATGACTTGCCCAATGTTCTAAAAAGAAAAATAGCAACAAAAATTTTTACTCCCCATTTTCCCACAAGGAGAAAGAGAGGGAAATAAAGGTTTAAAGATCCACATGGAACTAGTTACCAAAGATGTTTTATGTTGTTTATTAAATATATATATAGATAGATAGATCAAATTTTGAAAGAGACATATATTGGCACAAAAAGGGCAAAGGGGACAAGGCTATCATGCGATCTCCAGCATTGTTTCTATCACCAAGGCCGTATTTTCCAACTACTGATCTTTCTTCTTTGTTTCCAACTTTCACATTCCAATCAGCAGTAAGTATCAAGCCATCCCAATTGCATGTTCAGTCAATTTCAGGCTGCAGAAGTTGGTAAAAAATCTTTAATTTCTTAGTCTTTGGCCTTATTGGTTGGTGCGTAAATTTGAATAATAGTCGTATTAACTGAGCTTCCTTGTAGGCATATGGATATTATCCTACACATACACATACTGTATTTGTGCACAAATAACACACACCCTCTACATTTGTTCGCCAACTCTGCCTTCTCCCCTCAAGGTATTTTTTTGTAAGCGTGCTATGCCAACTTTTTTTTTTTTTTTAACAGCAAAATGTGAAAAAAAATTGGCATAGCAGCACTTAACGAAAATACCTCATGGGGGAGGGCACAGTCAGCCAACAAACTTAGAAAGCATGTGTTATTTGTATAAAAATATGGTATATGTTAGTACCCTCTTATATAGAACGCCCTGCAATTCCCCTTTGTTAAACACATCTTGCTTGTAATAAAGTGTATGTTAAATGTCTATACTCCTTGTTAGATTTTATGTACATGAGGTAAAAAACATTTTGTCAACCCTCTTCAACATTATATTCCCAGCATCTATCATGATACCTGGAACAGAGTCAGCCCTCAAGTATTCACTGAATAAAATGGTTTTCCTATGTATTTCACTCATTAATTTTGGAAACTGCTAGGTGAAAGGCACTATACTTAATGTGAGAAGTATAAAGATAAGCATATTAAATTTTAGCTCTTAAGATTTTGAAAGGTATTTAACAATACTGGTATAATCATAACACAAGACAGAGAGATATTTTTGAAGCATCTGGTCTCTGCTGCTAACCGAAAGGTGGGTGGTTTGAACCCACCAACTGCTCTGTAGAGGAAAAATGTGGCAGTCTGCTCCTGTAAAGATTACAGCCTTGGAAACCTTGTTGGGCAGTTCTACTCTGTCCTATAGAGTGGTTATGAGTTGGAATTCACTCAGTGGCAATGTTTTGTGTTGTTTTGTTTTTTATGCAAGTTTAGAGGAGTGAAAAAATCACTTCACACTGGGGGAAATTAAGGAAAGTGTAAAGGATGGCATGGCCTTTGTGCTGGATTTCAAGGATGAGATAGGGAGCTGGAACTCTGAATAAAATTCCCTATGAATGAATTGGGGCCCTGGTGGCACGGTGGTTAAGAGCTATGGGGGCTAACCAAAAGACTGGTAGTTCAAATCCACCAGCTCCTCCTTGGAAACCCTATGGGGCAGTTCTACCCTATACTATAGGGTCACTAGGAGTTGGACTCTATTCGACAGCAACTTTTTTTTTTTTTAACGAATGAATCAAGGTGAGAAAGCATGAGGCAGGTTCAGGAAAGAGTGACCAAATAAATTTGATTATACTACAGGACATGAGAAAGGGGGGAAAAAAATGAAATGGTAGGTCAGAAGCAGGCCATTGTGGGATTTGTCAAGTTAAGGAGTTTTAACCATATTCTATGTCTTAGTTATCTAGTGCTGCTATAACAGAAATACCACAAATGGATGGCTTTAACAAACAGAAATTTATTTTCTCACAGTTTAGGAGGCTAGAAGTCTGAATTCAGAGCACCAGCTGAAGGTGAAGGCTTTCTGTCTCTGTGGCCGCTGGAGGAATGTCCTTTTCTCTTCAGCTTCTGCTTCTTGGTTCCTTGAAGATCTCCCTGTGGTCTTGGCATCTATCTTATCCATCTCTGCTTGCTCTCTTGCTTGTTTAATCTCTTTTATATCTCAAAAGAAATTGACTCAAGATGCACCCTACACTAATCCTACCTCATTAATATAACAAGGACAACCCATTCCCAAATGGGATTCTAACCTCAGGGATAAAGATTAGGATTTACGATACATATTTTTGGAGGGACACAATTCAATCCATAGCATTCTCCAAGCAAAGGGAAGTCAAACGAGGACACAATTCAATCCATAGGATTCTCCAAGCAAAGGAAAGTCAAAGGAGTTTTTGAAAAAAAGTAATAAGCAGAATTTGGTCTAGAAAAATTATTCTGACAGCAGTAAATGACTGGCAGGGAGGCAGGAAAACATTTGGGATATAGGACAGAGGAGGGAAGGAGAGTTTGAATTTGAGAGTACCTATAAGGGAGATGGATTCAAGAATCCTTTGGGTAAATAATCTTATAGAGGAACTACTGATTTCAAGCTCAGAACATATTTTTCCCCTAAAGCTAGATTCAGAAGGCTTTCATTTTAGATCAAATTTTGCCTGCTCAAAATTTGGAATTCAATGATATGGTTGGTTTTTAATAAAACTCTGCTGGAGTTTAATAAACTGACTTAAAGGTAAAAAGGAAATTAAGGTAAAATTCCAGGCGAAAATAAAAAGCAACATCTTCAAAATTGCAAAGGTAGAAGCAGCCTGCCTCTCTGAGAAATATATTTAGCCCTCTAAAATATGCAATGACATCTAGAGAATTCCTAAGAGGAGAGGCTTGATCTATTTTAAACCGACATCTTCTTCCTAACCACTGAATACAATGTCAGAGCTCATCAGATACTTCAGTATGTTTTTTCAGCCATGGTAATAATACAACCCCAGTCACAATTAAGCCAATACACAAAAGGAAAAAAAAAGGGCGGGTCCAAGATGGCAGAGTAGTCAGATGCTTCTGGTGGACCCTCTTACAACAAAGACCAGAGAAAACAAGTGATTCGATTATATATGGCAATCTGGGAGCCCTGAACATCAAAGGCAGAGTTGAGGAACCGGACTGAGTGGCAGCGGGAGGTAGAGACAGTTTGGAAGCAGCGAGGAGAAGCCAGGCCTGACTTGGTGAGAGCCTGAGCCCTTCAGGCCTGAGCAGCTCGGGGGTGAGCGGTGAGGTAGGCAAGCTGCGGTGCCCAGGATGCACGTTTTCTGGTTTTCTGCACCGGGAGAGACCCAGCACGAATCTACACAGCCACCCAGAACCAGTGAGAAGCAGCCCTCAATCAGGCGAAAGTAAGTACCTGTGTACGTCCTACC